CCCTTCCCAAACCTTCCCTTCCCAAACCTTCCCTTCCCAAACCTTCCTTTCCCTATCCTGGGTTTCTGAGCTCTGAAGCAATAGTCTTGGAAGCAGATCACAGTCAACCTTCCCAGTGTTAGAGGTGACCTGCTAAGGAGATTTAAAATAGCTCGGAATTACATTGCTTTCTGCTTCCTTAGATGGATAAAGGAGGGTAAAACTTAAAAAAAAAAAAAAAAAAAGAAGGAAAAAGGAATAAAAAAAGAAATGCTTAGAAATTGCAAGAATGTCAAGTTTGGTTTTCATTTTCCCTACTTTTTTTGGAGATCTTTCTGGCATCTATTGTGTGTTCTAACACTTCAGTGTGAGGTTGTGGAACCCTCCTCAAAGGCTTCCTTAATCTGTGAGGTTTGTTGGGCATCAAAGCTCACCAGGTATTAATGAGCCAGACAAAGAATTCAGGATATTTGGGGACAGACTGCTTCTTCCTCCACTTGCACAACTTTCTTCCCTTTGCTAAGATGGTGTCATCAGGAAACCTGGTCTGCAATTACTCTCCATCTCCCAAATAGACAAATATGTGAATTTGTAGTGTAGCAAATAGGAAAACAAGCAAAGTGCTCATTAAAAACAATCAAAGTTTGTCTTTATTCATAACAAACAAGCATGAGAAGTCAGCAAATCTCTTTCCTCCCTTCAAATGTCTCTTTGAAGCCCTTGGATCCCAGTTTAGCCCTGTCGGGGGATATTTGTGGTACATTTTCCCTTGCTCCATAGCATTTCCTGGGGGAAACCATCTGTCTTGTGTTTGGCAAAGCACCTTGTGCAGCAGCGACTCGCAGCAGCGGGAGAGGATGCTCTTTTAGAGGCATTTTGTAAACCAGCTTGGAAATGAGCTCTGGGTGAGGAGGGATGGCCTTTGCCTTTGGTTTTCCACGTGCCATCGCTGGAGCTGGAGGCTGCAAGGCCTGAGAGATGGACCCAATGTCCCTGTTCCTGCAGGGACACAGGCACGGGTGGCCTGGCCAGGGATGATACCCAAGCTGCAGCTGCAGGTTTTATCTGTGGCTGGAGACACCTTGAGCTGGGTCAGACATCCCACCTGGTAGCCAGGCTCGGGTGGGTCGGGGTGCTGGGGTTCAGGTGCTGGCAGGGCACAGAGGAGGGGGCACCATGACAAGGAGGGGACCCTGCCCACCGCCTGCTCCCAGCCATCTCAGTGTGCTTCTTCCTCCTCCTCTCCCCCTTGCCGTGGTTAAGCAGACACCCAGGAGCAGTGTTAACTGTGTTGTTGCAGTGCAGGAATTTTGTTCCCAAAGAGCAGCTGTGGCACCTGCATGGGAATCCTGGAGTGCTACTGCTCTGCAGAGCATCCTGCACCTCCAGCCGTGCCTGTGCCCGGTCCACACGTGCACACGTTTCCTTGGCAAGGCACTCGGAGGCTTTTTTCAGCCTCCTCTGCAGCCAAGACCTCCAAAGGGATCCCCTGGCCTTTTCCCTGGTGTAAATAGCTTTTCTCTGTGTTCCCTGTATGTCACCAGGGATCCGTGCCCATCACAGTGGGATCAGCATCCTCAGGTAGTCTCTCCAAACCATCCTGGGATGTGGCGTATGGAAAACATGGCTCACCCCCTCACCAATCTACGGATGCCTCATTTGCCTTCCAGAGCAAATACTTGCATCAAATTTGTCTGTATTTATGACCCAGGGCCACGACTGCATCCTTTCCCCTACCTCTGTGCAGAGGTGAACACCCACACTGTGTGTGATGGGTTCAGCTCACCCCACGTGGGCTGGAGGGCCATGGAAAAGCGATGGACCATTTTTTCCCAAATCAGCAGCTCCTGAGTATCCTGCCTATCATAACCTCAAGGCCTGAAGGCAAGGGAGGGCTCCTCGACCTGCTGTTACCTATTGCCAAGGAGGAGGTAGAGAAGCCAAACATCTTCAGTTCCCTTTGCTTTGTGTCAGTCTGGGGCAGCAATTAGTGTTTCCTGCTTGAAATTCCTTCCAAAGCATCCCCACACAGGGCAAGCTGAGCCAGTTTTCCAGTCTCCCAGTTATTCAGGTGCTCAGGTAGGGCTGGATGGAGCCAAGGTAGAAGAGAAGAAGCTGTTCAGTGTCACAGTGGCTGCCTGAGCAGAGCCAGGTAGGATGGGACAGAGATGCCTTCAGCTCCCCTTGGCCCTTTTCCCAGTCCCTGGGGACACCTTGGGCCAGAGTCCCTGGGCCAGGAGATGCAGTTTATTTGCTGCCACAATAAAGGAGGTGCTGGATATCCCATGCTGCCTACCCAAAAGCTCAGGGCTGCTCCCATGGCAGGTCTCACAGTCTGTGTGTCCATCAAAGCACATCTCCCTGGCTGGGCCACGCTGACAGGTCGTGTTCCCCCTGGGCACAAGGCAGGCTTTTTTCCCATGGCACATGTTCATGTGCTGCACCAGGCGAGTGGAGCACAGTCCTGCTCCCCAGCCCGGCCGGCAGCGAGCGAAGCCTCGTTAGTTCCACTTATTAAAAACAAAATTGCTGGGGGGAAGGGAGAGAAGGCAGAGGAAAAAGTGAAGTATTGAGAAAACACTTCTTTCATTCATATGTTGTTTACTGAAATAAATACTTCATTATTAGGCTTTTTTAGGGTGTTTTTTTTAAAGCCAGCCCCACAAAGTCCCCAGTGTTCAGGCTGTGAATGTGCCTGATCACCTCAGCCCATTGCTCCCGTGAGCTGCTGTCCTGCTGCTGGGAGGTGCCTGGAGAGAAGCATTGCAGGGATCTTTCCCAGTCTTGGGGGAGAAACCTGGGGGCTGCACATGTCTGGTTTTGTCCAGGTTTGCTGATTCCCTTCTCCTTGTCTTTGCCGGATGGTCCATGCCGGGGCTCGCAGGGTGTGCTCCAAATGAGGCAAAATCTGCTAACTGAGACAAGGGAGGGTTTGGGGTCTGGTTGATTAAAGCTCTGCTTTCTGCTAGTCTGGAATCCTAATCTAGCTCCCAAACCTAAACAGCGCAAGGCTACTCTTGAGTTGAACCCCATCACCTTCTGCTGTTGGGGTGAAGAAGGTGAAAGCTGGTGACTCCTGTGGAGACCTCGCACTGCCCTATAGCAACACCAAAACTCCAGCAATCCCAGTTCTCCCCACTTAGAGTGAACTGAGGCCTCCTCTCCTCCTGTGCCTGTCACCTGAGATATGCTCCACGTTTATCTTCCCTCTTAAGCGAGGCTTAATCCAATAAAAGGACTGTGATCCCTGATTTGCTCCTGTGTGTGCAGAGCTGGGAGCCTCTGTTCCCTCTCACATCCTTCCAGCTCTGCTGCTCATCGGGAGTCTCAGCATTGGCAGGTTTGTCCTCCTGGCACCCTTTTCCTTTCCCACCTCTAGCCCTAGTTTTCCTTCTTCCATTTATTCCTCTGCTTGCCTTCCACCCACACTCCTTTCCTCATACTCAACCCTTGTTCAGCCTGATTTCCCTCTGTTTTCTTCTCCTTTGCTTACTGGCTGTTTTTCCTATTTGGGCTCCTGGAGTTGTTCCTGTCAGACAGCCTTGCTGCGATCCACGGTCAGAATAGCCAATTCCCTTGGTGGCTCAGGAAAAATGCAGCGCATTCCTCTCTCCCCCATCCCGTTATCTCGGTTCTGCTCCTTGGCTGCCCACCACAAGCGCCGAGGCCGCGCTGGCAGCCGCGTGTCTGGTGGTTGGCGACAGGCGGCCGCCTCGGGCTCAGCCCTGCCTGCGGCTTGTGTTCCTGCCTGAGCCCTGGCACGGTGCTGGATCCCAGCTCCTCGCTTCCCTGCTGCCGAGAACTGGGATGCGCAGGGATCTGCCCCCAGTGCAGAGCACAGAGGCCCAGCTGGAAGGTGCCAAGTGGGCAGGAGCCACCGGATGCAGGAACCGCGTTGGCACCATCTGGTTGGCAGAGGTGGCACACGCAGGTGCTGCTGTCCTCTGCCCGGTGCTTTGGGTTTGGTTGCAAGGCAAAAGTTTTATAAGGAAACTGTTTTCATGAAATTTATTGAAAATTTCATAGTATAATATTTCCCCTTTAAGTGGTCCCTCACAGTGTGGAAGTTCTCCCTGGATTGCTGGGCATGGAATCCATGTTGCTGCAGTGGCAGATGTGGGCGAGCAGCATGGATGCTGCTCCCCCCTCACCTTCTGGACCCAAGTGCCATGGTCCTGGTGGGACTGCAGGGCCTATGGGAGGTGCTGGATCCTTCCGACTCTGTCTGATCCAGTGCCTGGGAGAGCTGCTACTGCACAGCCCAGGTCCTGCAGCACTCCAAGGCCGTCTGGAACTGTCCTCAGGACTCTCTGCGTGACAGTTGTCCCTTTGCCAGGGGCAGCCAGCACAAAGTGAATTGTCAGCAACTTTTGGGAGGCAAAGAGGAGCAGCACCATAGAGAGAGTGAGCTCAGAGCTCCTCCAGCTTTCACAACCCTGCTTGAGCTGTCTTACTCCACAGAAGTCCTGGAGCCCTTTCTCTTCCCAGACCAGGAAGCTGTTAGCCTGAGCAGGGGAAAACAAGAAGGAAGATGAGGCCCTGAGCCTTTCAGTGGAAGGGGAGGGTGGCAGAGCCAGGGAGGTGTGGGGGCATCTGGGAGCAAGGAGATGCTCTGGGCAGGCTGAGCTGTGGGCACCACATTGGCAGCGGCTGCTGTGGGGCAGCCAGCCTTGCCGAGAGCTTCACCTTCATCCTGGAGGCCCCACCACGGAGCTGGGGTGGAGCAGAGCCTCCCCCAGCCCGGCTGTGCCGAGCACAGGTCCCGGCTGGGCCGGCGCGGTGTTGAAACGAAACGGGAGGCGCTTTGTCTCGACTGGGAGCGCTTTAAGCCCTCGCTCGGGAACAATGGCCAAGCTATGGGGTCATTTGTTCTGGTATTTCAGCAGCTCCTCATGATTTATGGGATGTTTTGTTCTGCTGCTTGTCTTAGCTTCCCCCTCTCCACCCTCCCCGTCTCCATCCCTTCTCCATTTCAGCTGCTCCTCCCCCCGCTCCCAATTCCCCTAATAGCTGTGGAGCCTCTGTGCCTTATGAAGTCATGGTATCTGTGACTTATTGAATTAGCCGGGTGGGAGCTGGACTTCCACACCGCACTGGAGGCTGCCGGGGTGCCTGGGCTCCCAGGGAGCCAGCCCACAGCAAGGCCCCTCGCCCAGGGGCTCCGGGCAGCCTGAGCTCCCCCCTGGAGGGGCAGATGGACGTTGCCATCAGCAGAATGCTGGAAAGTTCATTCACAGGCGATAAATGTGGGCAAGAGGAGCTGCAGCCCCAGCGAACAAGGAGGGCTCTGTCTGCGGACACCCCCTGGTCCAGGGCAGGATGGGGGCTTGGCTGCCTGTCCTGGGGCTGCCATCCCTCCCTCTCCCAGCACACCTCTCCAGTGGACACCAGTTAGGGAGCCCCTGAGCTTTCGGTGTTGAACTGCACATGGGGTGATGTGGTTCAGAGCTTGGCCATATCCCCGGCAGTCTGGGAATGGCCATGGCCAGTGCCTCTGGATGTACAGGGAGGGCAGGAGTTCACCCTCCCAGAGCTGGTGGGACAGTGATTCACCAGTGACTGTGATGGACGTGCTGAAGGGGATGGGGAGGAGTGAGCCCTCCAAATACCTCCCAGACAGATGGGTTAACCTTCAGGAAAGCATTGCAAAGGGATCATCTACTTGTGCATGATCACTTTTTATCCTCATTTCCTGAGTCACTGCAGACAGACAGAGGCTTGAGGGCAACTGCTGGTCCTGGTGGGACTGATGTGGTGCTGCAGCCAGTCCTTAGCCCAGTCCTTAGCCTTGGCAGTGGCAGAGGAGCCATGGCCCATGCAGCTCTGCTTCACCCTGACCAATGGGTGCAGATGGGGAAGGAGATCTTGTGCCTCCTGATGCCACAAGCCTCTGTCTGCCCAGCTTTCCTCCTCGTCTCAGGAGAGGCAGCTCAGCTTGTGATTGTGATGAGCCTGAAGAGGTTGGGAGCAGACTGAGGGCTGGACCTTCTCCGTGTGCTGCCACAGTCTCTGGCTCCAGCAGGTCCAGCTCTCTTGTCTGCATTTGTTTCTCATGTCACTTCAGTGGGAAAAATTGAGCCCTCTGGGAAAGAGACAGAAGGAAAATGTTCAGAGAAGGCTGATGTCCAGGTTCTCCCTGTCTGGGACCAGAGCCCTCAGCCAGATCCCTTCCTCCCTGAGAGCACGGGCAGCAAATAATATTTATTTAAAAGACAAATATAAAATATTGTGCTGAAGTGGTGCTCTGGCCACTTCCCTTTGCTGGTAGCTGATACCTCCAAGCCCCGATAAGATTATTTCTCAGTCCATTACCCTCAGCACACTTTAATTTCTCTCCAATAGCCCAATTGCCTGATTGTTTTGCCTTATTGTCATCATCCCTCTGCCATTTCCCATGGCTGGGATCTGCAAAGCAGGGTGGATGCCTTGGTCCCTGCTGAAGAGTGTGGAGGATGCTCTTCATCCTGCAGGATCTCCACTGGTTCTTCTCCATGCCTGGAAGGGGCCAGTGGATTTCTACAGCCAGCAGCCCAAGTCTCATGGTTATACTGGAGGGAACTGCAGAGGTGCTGCAATCCTTGGTATGAAAGGGAGATCCTTGGTATGAAAGGGAAATCTCATGGGTATCTGAATCTTAGTGTGAGTCAAGCCCTCCCAGATAGACCCACTGGATCCTCCACACCAGCTGGTATTCCCACAGAATCATAGAATGGTTTGTGTTGAAAGGGACCTTAGAGCTCATCCAGTGCCACCCCCTGCCATGGGCAGGGACACCTTCCACTAGCCCAGGTTGCTCCAAGCCCCGTCCAACCTGGCCTTGGACACTTCCAGGGATGGGGCAGCCACAGCTTCTCTGGGCAACCTGTGCCAGGGCCTCCCCACCCTCACAGGGAAGAATTTCTTCCCAATATCCCATCTTTGAACCTGGCCTCTCCATGAGCTGGTTTGCATCTGGGGAAGGGCAGTGTGGAGGAGTCATGTCTGGAGCAGCTCTAGCAAGGCTGGCAGCCCACTCCAGCCTTGGAATGCCAGGCTGCACTTCCCTCCATCCCTGGGAGCAGAAGGGATCACTGGTCCTGCTGCTGATGCTGCTGGGGACACTGGTCAGGAGACACAGAAGCATGGACACATCCGGATAGTCTTGACAGCCGGCGCTTCCAAGGTATTCCAGTACTTTTAATCCTTCCTTGTCCCTTGACCAGTGGCAGTCGCTGTTGGGCAGGTTTCCTCTGCCCTTAGATAGTTTCCCCTGGCAGAGACAATTCCGCCTGCTAGAGCTTCAGGAACCTCATGTTTATCTTCCTGGAGAGTGTCTCTCAGTGCCAGGTCAACACTGGACCTCCTGGCTTGGCTGCTGGCAGGACGGGCAGCGCTCAGCAGGGAGGCCAAACAGGAGGCAGGAGTCAGCCCAGGACACTTGGGACACTGAGGACCAGGTCCTTGGATGTGCTGGGACCTCGTTCCACCTCTGCTGGAGTCTTCCTGCTCACTAACTCTTCCCCATCCCTCATACCCACCTTTCCTCTGTGGGCTGACTTGCTTTTCAGGGAAGCTTGTGAGCCCAAGTGCCTGGTGGAGGTCAGAGAGGAAATTATGTTCCCTTCTGCTCCTCTCTTTCACATTTCCTCCCTTTATCCCCAACACTGAACTGTTCATCCATCTACCCCGGCAGCTCCTTCCTCGGGGACATTTCTCTTCCTGTCCCACTTTGCTTTGTTACCTTTAGTTCACATAAAACAGGGAAAGTCAGACAGGGATGATCTTCTGCCACAAGGAACTGTTGGGCAAAGTGGAGGAGATTTTTCCATGTAGGCAGTGCCAGATAGTGCAGATCTGAGAGACTTTCCAGTTTCAGGCCAGGAAAAGGCAAAGTTTCATGCCTTGCTTTGTCCAAAGTGGACACTTGGCAGCATCACCATGAGAAACTGCTTATGGTGTTCACTCTGCCTGCGGTGCAGAGGTTCACCTGAGCTCCCTACAGGTCTGTTCAGAGTCTGCTTCCCATCCAAGAAGTGTCCCAACAGGGCCTGTCAGGGCTCACCAGGTAGTAACTGGGAGGCACATCTCCTACCTGAAGCCAGAGCGGGCTCCTTACTAATGGTTTCACACAATGGGTTTCCTTTTGCCCCTCCCTGCCCTGACTGGAGAGTTCCAAGCTCTCTTCAGCCTTCAGATCATAGAATCATGGAATGGTTTGCATTGAAAGGGGCTTTCAATATCATCTCTTTCCAACCCCCTGCCATGGGCAGGGACACCTCCCACTAGACCAGGTTGCTCCAAGCCCCATCCAACCTGGCCTTGGACACTTCCAAGGATGGGGTAGCCACAGCTTCTCTGGGCAACCTGTGCCAGGGCCTCATCACCCTCACAGGGAAGGATTTCTTCCTAATACCCAATCTAAATCTGTCCTTCAGCCTAAAGACATTCCTCCTTGTCCTTCATGCCTTTGCAAAAAAGTCCCTGTGCAGCTTTCCTGTAGGCCCTCTTTAGGCACTGGAAAGGGCTCTGAGGTCTCCGTAGAGCCTTCTCTCAGTCTGTCTCTATACCAGAGGGGCTTCAGCCCTTGGAGCATCTTCATATCCTCCTCTGGAATATTTCTAACAAGCCTATGTCTTTCTTGTGTTGTGTTCTTGATTTGCTGTAAAAAGCTGTTGTTTCGGAGCTTTGGAAAATGAACATATGACATTATGTAGTAGCATTTGTTAAGCAAGGCCAACAGAGCAGCTGCTGAGATGAGCAGAGTTCCAAGAAACATCTCTTCTTGGTGTTATCAACATGGAGTCTGGCCCACTGCCCCCAGAGGAGCCATTGTCACCTTTGGTGGGACTCTGGCTTGTTGAGTTGATGGTTTCTGCACAAACCATGCAGGTTTCAAAGCTCATGGTTGTTGCAGCCTGTGAGAAGGCAGAGATTGCAGGATGACTTGGCACCGTGGTTACTCACCCCTTCCCCTAGTCTGGCTTCTCCTCTCCACCCCCAGGCCCCACATTTAAGCACTGAAGTGGCCAGAACCCAAACTGAATTTTCAGAGCTTTGGAGCTTCACCCCTTGCAGAGCAGATTGGCCTGGGCTGGGGGCAGGGATGAAGTGATGGCCTGGGCATGGAGTACCTGCTTCCCCTGCCCACTGAGCAACTGAGGGCAAGAGTTGGCCCTTCTTGTCCCTCAGATTCTCAGTCTTTAAAAGGAGCATGGCAATGTTAACCTCTTTTTTCAGGCACTTTGGCATTCCTGCCCATGGAGGGGGTTGGAAAAAGATGATCTTTCAGGTACCTTCCAACCCAACCCATTCCATTCCAGGATTATGTGATTCTGTGAGATCCACTGGTTCAGGAGCTACTGTTGCCCCAGGACACTTGACAACTGGGATCTTCTGCTGGCCAACTTGCCCCCCCGACTGAGGGATGAGATGTGGGCTTGGTCCGAGCTCAGGGCTGGCAGGTCAAGCTTTGCTGGTGGGCTTTGTACATCTGGGATCACAATCTGGAGCTGGCAGCTTGTGTTGGCACTTCAGCCAAGAGCACTAACGTCAAGGTTTCTGTGCTGTCAGTGGTGTCCTCCAAGATGGAACTTCTGCCCAGGGAGAAGGTACTAAAAAGGTGTCTTTGTTTTAATCTCCAAGTGATGTTCTTGTTCCTCAGCATCTTCACTGGGGAGGAGGAAGCAGTTATTGTGGGCAGAGGCAGTGGCAGGAGCAGAGGTGGACAGACAACTTCTTCTAGTCTGGGGAGATCCAGGCAGGTATAACCTTAAACCAAATTCTTCTGGGTTTAAATGTCCCTGTGCACTGGGCCTTGGAGTGGGAGGGTGCTGTGTGCTGGATCCATCAGCCCCTGCAAGCTTGTGTCAAAGCACACAGGCCTTGAAGGAGAGACTCACCAGAGGCTCACGGGGGTCAGTCCCTGCTGCCTCGTGGCAGGGCCCAGCTGGGAGGGCAGAGACCCCCCCGAGCTGGGCTGGGCTGGGCTGTGGTGCCGGGAGGGACCGTCCTGCCTCCGGACCTGTCAGGAGCTGCAGCTGGGTGAAGGGCTGGGTTTGCTGGTGCAGCTCATCTGAGGTCCAACCTGTGCCTTGTCCCTGCCCGTGCTCCACCTCCTCCTCCATCCTCCCTGCTCCGAGCCAGGCTCCGGAGCCGAGTCCTGCCGTGT